TGAAACAAGTTTCTGTTGATGCTGAATGTGATGGGTTCAAGGGACTTGTTTAGTGTGCTCAGACCCCTCCTCTACTTTATACTCAGTATTTGGGGAGGTAGTTGTCCTTTTTGACTAGCCACACCTCCCTTGGCAGTGATTTTGCATAACAGCTTCTTCAGCTGCCAAATGTGCCCACAGGCCGCAAAACATTGCTTACTCCTGCTTTAGAGACTGGAATAGCCTCCACCCAGCATGACTATAGTAGTAGATAGCTGATGGTGCAATGCTGTAGTAAAGAATGTTAAAGACTATGCAATATAAATTTGTCAAGAGAACAATGATGCATGAGGCACGAGAAAGGAACGCAGTCTTCAGACCAACTAGAATGAGCCACATGGGAAATGATAAAACTGTTTCACATGCTAGGCCAGAATTATTTTTTACCAATTTAGGACATGCTTTACTATTGTTATGCATACAGAACATTTTGCAGTAGACAAATGCTGTATTACAGGTAAAACAGGAGAAGGCCAATTGACCAGAACAAGATGTAAGTTGATGTCTTAGTTATTTCTTAAAAAAACAAAAAACTGATTTCAGTCATTCCAGCCCCAGCTCAGCCCATGACAGCAATCTATTATAATCCATAAATCCTCTCAGCTGTGTTAAAACCTAGCTATCTACTTCCTTTTCTGGGGGGGGGGGGATTTCAAGCTTAGAGTGGTTTATACTTATTTGTTAAATTTCATACATTTTTGAGCCAATTTGCTCAAGGTTTTATCAATTGTTTTAATCCCTTCTGTATAGGAGCTGCATTTAATTGTCTTTTGCTTCATATGCAAAGTGATCAGTATATTATTTGCATGCTCATTCCCATGCCCTCCTGTGACTTAGCTTGAAACTAAGGTTAAGCAGGAGAAACTGAAACAACTGCATATTCCTTGGCAATTTACCCTTCTTTCTACTCCCTTCTCTGTTCCCCACCTGTTGCTTTTTAGACTGTAACCCTCTTGGAGCCAGGACTTGCTCTCTTGTGCTCACTAAAGATCTGTGCATCCCCAAAAGGGCTAAACAATTAATGTCATGTATGCAAATGCTGAACAGCAAAATTGTGTGCTATGTTGTTTGACTTTTCCTCAGGTAATGATAAATAGCAAAAACATTTTCTGAAAGGAATTTGTATGAGCCATGAAGTACACAAAAACTTTTGGATCAGTTCATTTTATAAGGTTTTCCAAACAGCATACCCATTTACAGGGCCAATGGCCCAGCTCATGTGTTAAGACAGCCCACTGTTTTGTTTTTTATAACAGATGCTCCTACTGCAAACTGGAGCAGTTAAACACCCCATGGACATTCTTTGCCTGGGTAGTTTAACACTGCAGCCAAACCTCCACTTCTGTCTTATTTCCCCTGACAAGCCACAGAAGACTCCACCAGTACTCTGCCTCATTCACAGTAACTCAAAATTGTAAAACATCGTGGGTTGTCATGATGAATGAACCAGGCCAAAAGTCTACTTACTATTGACATATACGAATTTCCAGTTAAACTGTGACAAAAGCCTTCCTTTATGCACTTCAGTAATCATGTGTCCTGCTGTTTCCTGTATGTTTCCTTTCTGGTTTTCAGGACATCCGACAGCTCCTTATTCATCCAGCTGGCTTTCTTATGAGCCCTCTTTATCTTTCCTCTGGATCAGAATAGCCTGAAGTTGCAGTTCTGATAACATCACCTTCTGCAGTAACTGTTGGTTTAAACTCATTTTGCCTTAGATGTTTTTTTTCTTCTGTGAATATCCCTGCAAATCCCCAATTGAAATCTGCTGGTTTTTTTCTTTTAATCTTTTTTGTTCTGCTGCTTTCAGACCTTCTTTAACCTGGGTAGTTCAATCTTTATACAGTAAACTAATTCATCCCTATTTGCCAAATCAGATGTTCCCTTTATTTTGCACTAGTATGTTTCCAATGCAAACTATTCAAAATCTAGAGACTGTAGTCACAAGTTAGCAAGCCCATTCGTATTTATTCATAAAAATAAGCATGCAATGTGCTATTTATGACTTTGGCTCTTATCCACTATACCACAAAATATCACTGTTAGGTTATCTTGAACATCTTTTCACCCATCTCTCTTGGTGGTTTTCATATCATCAACTTGCCCCTTTAGAAATCTCTCCTGGTTTGCTGAAAGAGTCTCTTGCAGAAACTTTCCTGCTGCAGCAGACTCATGTTCACCTCTTCATCATCACTGGAAGCTACTACTTATCTTCCATGCTGCCCGTAGACTGCAAAGAAAAAGCAGTCGCTGAATGAATGAGCTGGTGTAAGCTACCAGTGCTTCTGCTCTTGCTGTTTTCTCTCTTCTTTCCTGATGGAGTGGGCAGATAACTAGGAAATGAAGACGGTAAAGAAGACAATTCTGGGCTGCTGCTGTTCTTAGCCAGAGGGAAACATGATTATGCAGGCAGCAGTAACAGTGAAAAAGAAAAGCAGTAGACACCAGACAGCTCTTGGTGGTGAGTCCCCTGCCATGTGTGGTTTTTAGCAGATTTCCAACTATTTTCACCCCTAACCTTGAGCAATGGAGGATTCTTGGGAATCACTCAGCTTAAGCAGGTTTTCTTTACCTAGGTCTGTTGCGTGTTAATACTACCTTGCGTTAACCAGGTGCCTGTTCTGGAACATGCCCAACATTTATTTGCAGTTATGAATTACAAGGAACATCAACAATGATGAGCAACTTAATCTTCTAAGAAACTCATCCTTCACTTATATTTGCAAAGAGGAAATTCTGATAAACTTCAACAGAACACGTTTTCAAATTACAGATTGATTAGTTTAGCTATTTCTCACAACTGGGTGGCCCATAACAAATTCCTCATCAGGATGCCACAGTCTCCCCCTTGATTTTTATCTGGACACTTTGAACACATGTGCAGTTCACAACAGTGCTGCTATTCTTTCCTGAACAAGCTGTCTGAATACCATGGGAGTATTCAGACCATGACAGCTATGCCATTAGGTAATGATTACTTCAACATAATTATTTCCACATCATAGGTTTCCTGTAATTGTTTCCTATTGCTCTGTTAAAAGGTATTTCATATACCTTTCAATGCTGTCTTCCCAGGTGTTGAGGATCTAGCTATTAAAAAGAAAAGGCATTCCTGCTAGACTTTTACAGGTGTAGAATGTGCAGAGAATGAATACATGTGGAGATTCTGCTAATCTTTTCTAGTTACTACGGTCACGTCAGCCTTTTTTCCTGGTTGTATAAAGAAAACTGGCTGAATCACTTGACTATTCCTGCACAGAAATGGGGAATAAATGTGTAACCCATTCCTATGTAGTTAGATGCCCCAAACCCTTGGCTTAAGATATCAGTTGGCTTTAGCAGTCCTTTATCTGCAGAACATAGTCATTCTCATACAGGCTATCTTATGCGTAATTTCCTTCCTTATTTCACGTTCATTACTTTTATTCTTCCCCAAATTTCATCTTTTGCATGTCCCCTTTAGTTCCTCTCTCTCATGCTTAGGAACAGCTTCTTATTTATTGACCCATTTACCTCTTTTCCAAGTAAGTTCTCAAAATCCATGTCTTTAGCAACACAAACCCATGCATGATTATTCAAATATATTATTTCATTGTGTCTTACTGTGTTCAGTGGAGCTTACCTCTAAGTAAGTACACATAGGGTTGTAGCTTTCATCACTCACCACTGCCTAACTGCTACTTGCATCCTTTCCCAGAGTGACCCAAGGGCCATAACAGACTGTATACACATATAGGCACAGGGCCCCTACATAGCTGCTACATATAGTTTTTAAGTTTTTCTTTCGGCCCTAACTAGCCAGCCCAACTCATAAGGCATTGGGACAGTCTTTATCTTCCGTTGCACTACCCAAAACTTATAACAAAACCCAGTCTTGTCTTTAATTTGGACTTGGAAACTTTCTGTAGCAGTATTTTCTGTAAAGTTCTGCATAGTCCCTATGTGTTACACAAATGTTCAAAAGCAACATTCTCCATTCATGGAATCTATAAAGGCTCGATCACATTTCCAAAGAACTGTTTTTAGGTTTTAAGGGAAAACCCAAAACACCAAGTGCACAGTTGCGTACTACTGAGGTGACTATTCACACAGCTGAATTCAGAAGTAAATCCTACTATTGTTTCTGATCTTGTCCCATTCTCAGTGGAACAGGGGGAACAATGGTTATCCCTTCTTTCTAAAAAAAAATCTTTTTAGATGCTTTGCAGTACACACATACATGCAAATGTGACATCTTTGAATTCACAACTTGTCGCAAGACTGAAGTTATTCACAAGAAAGAAACTGGGACAGCTGAACATTCCTCTGTAATTCACTAACTCGTTACATTTCTTCCTCCCGCCCCGCTTCCCCCTTCCCAAAAATGTTAATCCTTTATAGCTAAGCTCTCTGCTAGGGAGTGTTTTCCTAAGCCAGATGCCTGCTAGCCTCCTTGGTGTCCGTCTTAGCGTCTCAAACTCACTAGAGGAATAACGTTACTGGCAGGACTATATTATACATTTCCATCTTATGCCCATCAACAAATGCAAGAGGGAACGGATCACGCCCCCAACGCCAGACCCAAGCGCCAGACTGAATAGTGGTGGAATACCCTCTGTGTGACGTGTACGGACATGTTAGTTCCATTGTGTTTACTCGCAGGTAAACTTGCAAAGGTCTGTAATCTGATCCTTTTCCCATATGTGGCCGGGGGAGGGGGGCAGCGACTCGCTTTCTTCCCCAGTTTCATTTGTATTCTCTCTGGAGCCTGCGCGGAGACCCGTTACACGCAGCAGCGCTTGAGTTTGCCTCGTCGGGCTGTGCACCGACCGCTGCAGATTCCAGCGTTCCACGTTCTGGACTGACGGCGCAGCGACGGAGGAAAAGAGACACCGGCCAAAGGCCTGCACCGATGCATTGTGGACCACGCAGTGTTGCATGCAGAGGCCGCGGAGGCTGCCGGGAACAACGGGAGGCGGCGACGAAACTCTGAGCAGCGACTGAGGGCCCGGCTGGAGGCAGGGACGGTCAGACCCGCTTAGTTTCAGCGAGACCGTTTCCTCAGGAGTAGTGCGGGACTCTACCGGGCCCAGGTCGCTGCCGTCGCCGCGGGACAGAGCAGCCCTCCGTGAGCAGCCTTTAAGAGCGCCTCCGTACTCGCCACCTCGGATGTGGAGGTGGCGGCAGGAGCTGGAGGCGGAGCGACCTGGGCTGGGAAGGCCGAACGTGAAAGCGAAAAGCAGGGAGCAAAGCCCTGCTACTCGCGCCGTCTGTCCCCTGAGGCCTCCGGGAAGGGGAATTCCACCCATTTTCGTCGGTCGGCTTTCCGGTGAGGGGGAACTCCAAGGAACCCATTTTACAGGCCCTCTACCCACTTCTTCCAACTTCTCAGCCCCTTCTGGTGTTTTAGGTGTCGTTATCCGGCCTCTCTGTGTGTGTGCGCGGGGTGGGGGGTAGAGTTCCCTTGTTTCTTTGTAGGGAAGGATGATGGTTGGCTCCATATCCCACGAGCAGTCTTTGTAGTCCCCTGAAGAAGTCCTCCCACATCAGCCTCCCGTAAAACCCCTCGCATAAGAGGAACTACAGATGCGCGAGAGAAGACCCGGGAAGCTAAAAGAAATAAGCGATTTTGCCCTGCCTCCCAGCTCCGGCGAGAGAAAAGTAAAATCCTCAACGTGCTTGTCTCTTTTTTTCTTTTTAAGCAATGTTATCGTGACGAAAGTAAGTTTTCTACAGTATGCACTGTTGCGTGTCAGCCCAGAGGCGCTGAAACTAGTTGGCCTTTTTGCACATGTTTCTCCCGACTTGGCTTTTGAAAGACCTGTGGACCAGGATTAAATAGGAAGGGAGCTGGAGACTGGGTTGGTTGAACCTATTCGTCTGCTTGGAAGAACTTGAGTAGTTACTGCTACTTTTGGACTATAACGTTTTCTCAGCAAGATTATTTATCACCTTCTGAATTTCAGTGCTGTGGATTATTTAATGAATGGACAATGTAGTCAAGCTGGATGGATGGCTGCTGCACTCCCTGAAATGTTTTTGGAAATTATCATGCAAAGTTACTAAAAAGAGCTGATATTGCTGGAAAACTTTGGCTTCTGGCAAAGCCATTTTTCCCTCAACAAGGTAAATAAAGCAATGGAGGCTAATAAAAGATTTCACTTTACAGTTATAAAACATAAGGAATTGCTAGGACAATAACCTGAAATGCATTCCATTTTGAATCTGTTTGGAAAACCCTGGTTATATTGCTTGATGTTAAGAGTTACGTATATGAAGCTTATGTTTATTATATAATCATAAACTTCTGGGAAATGGAATTGGTCCCATAGCAGCGCTCTTGAGAAAATTGCTTGCTTATGTTTAATTGAATAATTATGAACATCTAAAGGGGGGTAAATAACTTTATAAGAAGAATTGTTTAATTGGGTTGGGTTTAATAGAAAATAGCTGTTCAGTTTTTGTGGCTCAGTTCAGGGAACTGACAAATTTATTCATGCTTTTTCTTAAGAACCTCAGGACCCTGCCGCTTTCCTGAAATGTACAAATTCATATACATCTTAATTCAAGCTTAGAGAGCTATATAATAATCACCCAATTGCTTTTATCATGAAGTGTCTTCAAGGGTCTTTTGTTCAGTTACTTTGGTAGTCCCTTGAAATACATTGTAAGGCCTAAGTATATTTCACTGTTACTGCTTTGAACTACTGCACTCTAACAAGCTTGCTTTTTTACCTTGTTGTTCCTAAGGAATTCCCTCTTACTAATCAATGACTGCATCCAGTAACAAAAGGCTCTAATGTGCCTTTTTATCTACTTTGTAGTGACAAATCTGTAACAGGGATTGAATGTTCACCATAATAAACTCAGAGTAGTAGATGTGGACAATATACCTAACTGGTTTTTGGAATGGAGAGTGCAGCTATAAGACTTTGCAGGTGCCTTTTTTCCATATGACCATAGGGCTGCAGCATGTCAGCAATGTGTGGTTTATAATACATTTGAACAAGTGAAACTTCATGTTTTTGAGTGTAGTTCCACAGACAGAATAACTTTGAATGAATTTCTTTGCTTTCAGTGATAGATACTGCCTGTGGTTTTGTACGGATGAGAATTCTAAAATTTGTGTTGGGAAGAGCAGAAAGATTCACACTTCTCTTTGCCAGGATATTAATTTGTTAAACTCTAATCCATGTTAAGTAAACTTAAGATGTAGTTAATTTTGTCTTGATATATTACATACCCAAATCTTTATGATACAAGTTACTATTCTCAAAGAAAACATGGTCTCATATTAGCAATAAGTACTACTAATGCCTCTTCAATTTTAATTTTGCGTATAGAATTCAGTTGTGGTATAACATGGTTGTAAAAACAGTGATGTGCCTTCACTGTTGCAGTGGCACATCTTGATCAGCTAAGTAAGGATTTGGGGACTCTTATCGTGGAATTTGGTACAGCTGTTGTACATAGATGCCCTGTTTTGTATTTGTATTCTTTGCCTTTTTCTAATGGTATAACCATAAGTCTTAAACTTCATTTCAAGATGATGTGTGAGGTGATGCCGACCATCAGTGAGGCAGAGATTCCTTCAGGGGGAAGTGGAAGCCATGGTTCAGGTTCTCCACTACAGTCAGATGCTGATTCCCATTTCGAGCAATTAATGGTATCCATGTTGGAGGAACGAGATCGTCTTCTGGACACCCTGCGAGAGACTCAAGAGACACTAGCATTAACCCAGGGTAAATTGCATGAAGTTGGTCATGAAAGAGATTCTCTACAACGACAGTTGAATACTGCTCTTCCCCAGGTACGATTTCTCTAAACGAACAATATTTTCTACCATTAAGGTTTAGATTGATTTCATCACAATTAACATGTGAGAGAGGTAAAACACTGCAGCAAGCTTATAGTATACATATTCTGGAATGATACTTTCTAGAAGGTATCTAGAAATCTTTAACGAAATCTAGGACATATGAAACAAAACATTTAAAGTAAGTGGCAAAACTTGAGTGGTTGCTTCATATTGCTTTGACATTACACTGTAGTCACTCAGATAATTGTAAAGTAGATTTATTCTTTGAGTTGAAGTACCTGTTACTAAACAAAGTGAGAAACAAGTTTCTTAGGTTTGTATAAGCAAAACAGCATCCTGGTGAAGTATTGAAAATGGGCAAAATTGACATCTCATTGAAGTCAAAGTAGTTAGAGCATTTAGGAATTATATTCAAAGCAATGGGATTAAGTACACAGACCATGAGCATTTAAGCAGCAACAGGAGTGATGATAGTTTTTTGAAGATAAAATAAAAATAAGGCTGATAGAAAAGCAATTCTAGTTGTGTTCCCACTGTTTCTTAAGAGGAAAAAATAAAAGTGAGAAGCTGCAGAGGCAGCAGCTGTAGTAGCTCAGTGTTCTTCCCCATGCAAAGAAAAGCAGCTTCATCAACTCGGTTAGTCTTTGCCAGGAATAAGATGCAGTAGTAGCCCTAAACTGTAGGCTTGTTTCTATAGATGAGAAAACTGCATACTGTGGGCCCATCCTTGTCCCAAGTGTGAGCTGCTTTCTCCCTTGCTAGAGCAACTGAACTTTAATATTATTGGCAGCCCCATTATGCAGCTCATTTAGCCTGGCTGAGAGACTAGTGAGACTCTCAAGCATAAGTGCATATTCTGTCTTTCTCCTGGAAAAGAAAATGTCTAATCTACCTGAAAGAGTAACTGGCCCAAGGACACACAGTGAACTTCACAGTCTAGTGGAAGTTTGAACCTGGTCTCTACTTATCATCCAACATAGCAGAGCCACTAGCAAAAATATAGTAAATTTAAATTTAGTGTAATTTTTATAGCATCTCCAATTAATGCATGGAGAAATATAAACAAATTATTGATCTCTAGTATTTTCTATTTTAACTTGAGCCATCACCATTGCTTTGAAATTGACTGGATTACTGCTTGTTTCTTTGTATTGCTTCAGTGTAACTGTGTATGTTTTTAAAGCTGACACTTAAATAGTGACATATGTGTCAAGAGCTTTAATGGAATGCAGAGTCTGTGGAGAAAAGCTCCTTACTTTGGTAGTGGTATTAAGTGACAACACAATGCATTTGTTGTTGAAGGAGGTCTTTACGCTATTTTTCAGACATATCTTCATTTATAAAAAAATGTGGGGGATGTGAGTGTATTTTGGTCTTAAGAATCAAGGACTGTTTTGAAAGGCCAGATAAATATATCTGGCTTATACTCAAGAAGAGGAAAGATGGACAAGTTTTTAGTATGCCACAGTTTGATTCTACTGAATATAAGATAGTACCACTCAAATAATTGGTACGAGACAATGCTACCACATTTAACAAAAGCAAGGATTTGTGTGGCACCTTAAGGTTAGAAGATTTATTATGGCATAAGCTCTCATGCAGTACTTTCTGCAGATGCAGTGTTATCCCGAATTAGAGGTGTGTGTTGTGGGGGGAGTGCTTGAGGATTCTGTCTGTCTGCCTCTCTCACACACAAAAACACCCACATATGGAGGTGAGATTGACTAAAAGGAAATGCAGAAAATGCAGATGGTATCAACCGTATTATTAATGATGACGGCTTTAAAATTGTTGTTACACAAACATCTCAGCATTGGGTACACCAATTAATGCATATAGTATGATAAAGGTTTTGTTGTTCCAATTAAGGCTACAGAAGATGGAAATGAAATTCTTAATGTAATGTCTGTTATTGTCAGTACTAATGAAAGAATGTTGTGATAGCAGACCCATAGCACTCTTGCTTATGAAAAATTATTTTAGTATAACTGTGACAGTATTCTGTTTACAAATTCAAGGGTTAAGTGTAGCACATATATAAACTAACTGTTCTGTGGTGCAGTCCCTTGGGTTGCATCCTCAATTATTATAAGCTCCCAAACTGAAGTTTATGGTCTTCTAAAGCAGAACATCAGGAGTGATAGAGGCAAACATTGCCTCTCCGCCACCCTACATTTTTTCCCCTGGATGAGTTTTTTGGGTGGAATGTAATGCTTGGAGCTTGAAAAGACAGTCAAACAGATAGATATGCAGCAAGGATTCCATCCTTTTAAAGCCAGTTAGTACCATAAGTGTTTATAATGTGCATAGAAACCATAGTCTGTCTTGAGTCCCTAAGTGACACAATCAGATTTCTTTATCATGTCATGTTCTTAAGTCTCATGTTCCAAGTGAGACACTGGTTTCAATTCTTTTAGAACTGCCATGCTGAATTCCTTGAATTCCAAGGAAAGTTAAAGTGTTTATTGACATTTATTGATAGTCTTATGCTTGGTGTCTGATTTGTGCCCATTTCAACTTTATTTTAACCTGCATACAAGGAATGTCTGTCTACTATGAAAACTTCATAAAACAGGTAACACAAGAATGTCCCATTATTTCAGGCATCAATACAATAACAGGGTTGTATGTTGACACCATTCTTAGAGCATTCGTCAAAACTACAGCTGCCTACTTAAAGGACACAACAGATCTTCTTATTAAAAGGGAACAATATTTACAGCCATAGATGATGAATTCACTTCATATTCATGGGGAATGTTTATGTGAGTTAATTTTATATCAAACATAGCAAAGACACTTCCAACATTGTATTTACCTTAAGTGGTTTGAAATTATGGACAGATTATATCTAAAAATCCATGGCAACATGATGGGCACTTAAATGGCTCCACTTTGAGTAATACTATTCATCTACCAGGTGAGATGGGCCCCGTGTATATCTCAAATATAAAGATACATTTGATATCTTTCCAACTGATACCTTTGCCTTCTTAGCAACTTTACCCTTACCTGCCCCCACATAAATGTACATTTTCTGGATATTACCATTGTTGAAGAACAGCTACCTTGGAACTACATCACATAGAAAAACTACTGAATGAAACATATATCCACATACAAGTATTCTCATTGTTTACAGCCAAATTATATGTCACATATGTGCAAGCTCTGATGAACAAGTTCTTGAAAATTAGTTGACTATACTTTAAGTATTCGTAAAGTCGAGATACCACCCAAACTTGTTACATTGCAAGATTATTAAAGCTAAATCATTAGTTACAAGTAAACTAATCTGCCATCAGCATAAGAACCTTAACAGAATACCTTTTGTTGTCAACTATAGTACATGCTTAAGGGTGTTGCAGACATGGGTTCAGACATAGATTCAGAAGTCATGTCAATCTAAACTGCAGCAGAAGCCACACAGTGCAGGTTAATTACCTGGTGCCCCATGATATGCCCAAGAGATGATTGAGTCCAGCTTCACTGCACTCTGTCCTGTAGATATTACAGAGGGAAGACCAAGTATCGCCACTCCTGCTGTGCAACCAGCTGGGGAATAGGTACTCCTTCGGCCGGCTGGCTAACCAACCAGCTGAAGAAATACCTGCTTTTGGCTGCTGCAGGCTCAGAGCATTGCTACAGAACAGGCGAGCAGGTGTCACTTGAGCTGGCTAGCTAGCCAGTCAGCTGAAGCAGTCTCTGCTTGCTGCAGCGGGGAAGCAGGGCTGACTGAAGTGTACCCAGTTTCCTTGCCACCACAGCACAAAGCAGGAGTAGCTTCAGTCAGCTGGTTATCCCACCAGCTGAAGCAATCTGCTTGCCATGGTGGGAGCTAGGATTGCATCAGCCAGCTATCAAGAAGACTGAAGCAATCCTTGCTTCCCCACTGCTGCAGCAGTAGGAGAGCCAGGACTTCAGTCAGAAAAGGCAGGGGAGCAGGATTCGTTCAAGCTGACTGTCTTGCTAAATCAGAAAAGCAGCTGACACAGTTTGCAATGTTCTGACCTTGTAGTTGGGAATCCAAAATAACCTATGGCTGTTCAGACACTGTCTTGTGATCATAGGACTGCAACTTTAGTTTACTTCATGGTTTGTAACCATTGTTTTAAAGGAATAGGATGCTTGCTGCAGATACACCTGTTTAACAGTTTTTTTAAACTTCAAGCCTCAAGTTCCACTTACAGCATCTGATGAAGTGAGTTATAATTGAAAAACTGAAAATACATGCTAGTTGACCCAGTGAATATTTCCCCTTTTTGAAATTTAATTAAATAGTACACTTGCAAAACACTATAGAAGACATCACTTTTTTGAGACAACTGTTACTCTGCTTCCTGGTTTCTGTGCATCACACATATGGAGTCACTGCCCTGCACTTTGGCCAGCATGCTGCTGCTCTCTCTGCCAAGACTCCTCTACTCAGGACCACCCATCAGTACTGCTGCTGAGCTCAGCCACCAAGCCCTTGCATGGTGCCTTTTCTCCAGGCATGTCTCCAGCTGTTGGCCAAGGAAAGAATCCAGGTTTCCGCTGCCAACTGTGGACCAGGAACCCCCCTGGGTGCCTCTGCCACCAGTAGACCTCTACTGCCACAGCCACTCTTGGGAGTGGAGGCCTGTGGATCTGCAATATCAGCTGTGTTCCTTCAGCCTATGGATACCAGTTCTGATCTTGCCACCAGTTCCTGCGATCTAGCCACTGGTTCCTGTGCTTCAGCTGCCTGTTCTCTGCAGTCTGCTCTGCCTCAACCGCATAGTTCACCATCTAACTGATCCACATCTTCAGATCTTGCCCATTGTATGTTTGATTCAGGCCAGTTGCTGATCTGTGATGACCCAATGTCTTCCTTGTTCAAAGATGTAATCTTGGCACAGTGTCCAGGATCCCCCACTGAAGATGTGGACACCCAACAGCTCACTGAACCCCTAGTGGATCCTGACTGTGATGGAAGATGCAGTGCCAATGGCCTTCCTGTTCCTTCTGAT